CAGATTGGACAAAAAGCTGAATGTGAATAATTAAGAAAACACATACTAAGAGAAATATTTAAGTTTGTTGTGATTGCAAGGCTAAAACAAAGAAGGTTATGTGCCTGATCCTGTGCAGTGATGTTGCAGGATCCTGGTTCACTAGTTTGTGCAGGAAGACATCCTCCTATATCGTACCATCTCTTCCTGTTTCTATATTTAGCTTTCATATCTCCCCTTTCTGCTGGAACGAGCTATCAAACCTGAGCATCACCTGAAAACAAAGTGATCCGATTAGACAAATCCTTAAAGATGAACAGATATTTGTTGTAGCGGTGAGTGTGAGAGATAAACACACATGAATGGGAGGCTGAACTGACCTCAGGTGACCCCACATTGACCTCAGATGACCCACTTCAGCAAAACATGTACATAGGGAAAACAAAGCATATGGAAAATTTATTAAATAAAACAATAAATAAATAATTTTTAAAAATCCACTTTGATTGTGGCTCTCCTATAACTATTTTACCAATGGCTCTATCTGCCACAAGTAGGATATAAACTAACCTCTTTACAAATGACACTTTAAATATAAATCTCAAAAATCCCTTTAAAGCCAAAAAAGGTTTCCTACTTAGCCTTGTCACCTCCTTCCTGCGTATTCCTGGAGTTGCTAAGTGAGTTTGGCTCCATAGCAGCAGATGGAAGAGATATGAGGAGATTCGATGGATCTGCTTCTTCTCATCTTTGCCAGACCACATGAATGTGGGACCCCTGGGGTTTTTAGACAATAAATAATGAGATAACTCTCACATGTTGAAGCAATGTCACTCTATTAAAACAATAAAATAAAATAAAAACTTTATACCAACTGTAGAGCAGAGAGGGGAGGTGTTAGGTTTATTCAGTGATGATTATAAAATTAATGTGTGCTTATAAAACAATTGTGTAAGGGGATGCTCCACTCCTGTTATGATTCAGTCAGGAGACCTTCCTGCCTTGTCATTCCGAAGGAGCATTCTGTCTTCATGAACTGATCAATTGTTCTGTCAGAAAAATACTCTGTTTGTAACCATGTGTCATGTTCTGTTAATAAAACTGCTCTGCGGAGGAGGTCCAGTGGAAGCGTTTGAGTCTGGGGTTCAACTGTCTCTCCTTCCTGCAGGCATTTTATCCATAAATTGTGTATTTCAGTTCTTCTTAAGCTAAAACCTACATTTTATGAACCCTACAGGAGGTTTTTAACAGGACTGTCCTGGTTCTAGTCCTACAGAGCTACTGAGCTGCAATTTGTAGATGCATTCCTTCTCCAACGCATCTAAATGGCTGAATTCTCTCATCAGCATTCAGCTCTGCAGAGGCCTGGTAACCAGACATTCATTTGATCAATGTGTGGTGAAGCTGACATTTATAATTTACCTGCTCTTATTTTTCTTCTCATATTCTACTAAATAAAATACAGAGAGAGACTGATCCGTGGAGGGAAAATAAGTTCAAAAGGTCTTTTAGCTCAGTGTTTCAGGATCTAGTCAATAAATAAGTATTTTTCCAGTAGTTTATACCTGGAAGGTTTCTAGACCGACTCATAGAAACCTTGACAACTCGTCAATATGACCAGTTGGGTGCATAGAAATATTTTAATCCTGCATTAAAAACAACTAATGCACAAGCAAGAGGCTAAGATGATAGAAGTGCTTTGGCCTTTTCATCAGTTCACACGTACCTGTTGCTTTCAGTCACGTTTTTGTGCCTTAGAGGAATATTGGGATACTGTAGGTGCCAAAATGAGCTGTTTCCATTCATCTATTGTTATACCACATTCCTATATGCACATAACATGGGAAAAGAGACACAGAGGACAAACAACCATGGACTCACACACACTTAAGGGTAATTTAAAGATGCTTTCTAACCTAACAGTCATTTTTTCAGACAGTGAAGTCATATTTCTTCAGTCTTTTGGTCCTGGTATGATCCTTGATACACAGATGTAGAGCCTAGATAAAGAAAGGAGATAGAGAAAGGGGACAGAGTCCTTTGAGACTCCTGATTTTCTCAGAATATTGAGCAATATGATATTAGAGGAAATTTGCAGGGGCTTTTATTCTTGACTAAGATTTGTGTAGCGGCCCAAATCCTCATCAGATACAAATGCTAAAATCTCAGTGTTTTATCCATAACAAATGTTTCTCTAAGGAAGTGAAACTAGAAACCAAATCTGTGCATTCAGCTGTTTTTTTAGTGGTTATAGAATGATGACAGATCGACTCCTCAAATTTGCTGCTTCCATTAGATAAGGCTTCCTCTCTGGGTCAGAGAGAGTGTGACATAAAGCTGATAGAAGCTTTCTAGAAATTCTTAGTCAGTGCATGAATGTCTTTAGAGAAATGTGAATAGATAAGGTTCAGAGAGGGAGTGAAACAAAAAACACAAGACTGGAAATAAACTTATAGCTCCTAATGTCAAACAATGTTTCGATGTGCGGACATTTAATTGACTTGCATTCATTTTATATGGCCTTACCCAGACCCTTACCCTAACTATTACCAAACATATAGCTAACCCTAACTTGAACTGAATTCACACCTTAATGCTAAACCTAACCCTGGCTCAAAGAAATTAACTTTACCATATGAGGAGCAGGATTTTAGTCCCCATAAGGACATAGATCCCCATGACGTGACTGTGTATACAGATTAAAGTTGCCAAATGTTCATAACCCAAGCGGGGGCCCAAGGGGTGCTGGTGCCTATCTCCAGCTGTTAATGGGTGAGAGGTGGGGTGCACCCTGGACAGGTCGCCAGTCCATTGCAGGGCAACACAGAGACAAACAGGAAAAACAACCATTCACGCACACACACTAACACCTAAGGAGAATTTAGAGAAGNATTTAGAGAAGCCAATTAACCTAACAGTCATGTTTTTGTACTGTTGGAGGAAGCAAGAGTACCTGGAGAGAACCCACGCATGCTCAGGGAGAACATGCAAATTCCATGCAGAAAGAGCTAGGCCGGGAATCGAATCCAGATTTTCTTGCTGCCAGGCGGCAGTGCTACCCCCCTGCGCGCGCGCGTGTGTGGCCATGTCTTTAATACCTGGTGGGGACAATTTCCTAGGAATATGCTACATTTTCGGGACTCATAGGTACTTGTGGGGACCAAAAACAGGTCCCCATAAGGAAAGTTTCTCTTCTTGGGGTGGGGGTTAGGTTTAGAACTAGGGTGTGAATTGAGTTTAGGTTAGGTTTAGGGATAGGTATGTGTCGGTAATGGTTAGGGTTAGGGCAAGGGTCATGGTTAGGCCATATAAATTAGTGGGAAATTAATGGCAGTCAATGGAAGGTCCCCACAAGGATATTGTGACACAACAGGTGTGTGTGTGTATATTTTATATATATATATATATATATATAAACCAAGGTACAATCAATATACTGAATACACAAGATATATTCCACAGTTTGTCATTTATGTCATGTTTGTCTGTTGGCATCTGTCACAATATTAGTATTTTCATCAATTAGTGGTTTAATACATACAGTGTACAGTGCTTTTGTCACAACTGGTTTGCTTTGCAACAAACAAAAAAGAACAGAAAGTAGAAACATCAGAGAGAGGACTCTGGAAAACCGACAAAGCTTCATACAAAAGGACTGAATCTCATTTCTTTCTGAGGTAAACATCTAACAACCTGCATGGAGAAAAAACCAGAGGAGCTCACGGATCTGTTAATGCTGTTAGTGGGAAACAAATGAAAATCTGACCTCCACAAAAGTTTGAAATCCGGCTATAGGTTGAAAACATAAAAAAGAGAACAGAAATGCAAGCAGTAGTTTTAAGATTTCTTATTGTGAACCATCAGTAAACCACCCAAAGTCCAAAAAACCGCAGTATTGCTGCTTCATTGGTTGAACAACAACATACATCAAAGGCACATTCAACAACCCCGTTCCCTTTAGATCAGCAAAAACAAAGAAAAAAAGTAACAAATGACCAGTTGGTTACAAAATATAACCAATTCTCAAGGAAATACACAAAAAAACAAGATGCTGCTCATCAACATGAAAAACATGGTAGCTCTAAATCCCTTTATAAAGCACATTGTTTTATTTTCAATGCTGCTGCACTTTCAATAATATTGCACCAAAGTTTGAACAAAATGAGAATGAAAAAAAAGACCCTTAATCTCTAATGTGAAACTAAGTAAATATTGTGCTCTAATGAGTTAACTGTGTGTGAAAGTATCAGAGACACACAGATCTTTGCATTAGGGAAGACCTAGGACTGTGTGCTTGGCATTAGTACAATGCTTTCATACAAACTCCTCCCAATCAAGCAGTTAAACTACACAACATAAAGCGGTTGCCAGGTTGGAGCATTATACCCCCCTGCCCTCATTTAAGACCCAGCTACTTACACACAGTAAGTTTAAATACTCATTCCGTTCTAATCAAGTTTGACTACAAGGTTGGGGAACGGTTGCCATGTTTGGATGCCATCCCTCTCCTTAATATATTTTATCTCTATGGAGGTTTAAAGTTGAGGCACCCATTCAAGTATTTGCAGGTTGGATATTAGTTTCCTGTGAAGTGGGGTCGCTTGAAAGCCATGTCTGCTGGTTCGGTCCAGCCCTACCTCATCAGATTTGGGTGTGGGGCTCATCTAATTTGTCAAACTAAGGGTTCGCCCTGATTTCCCCAAATGTCTCTGAATTAAACCACCAAGATCCGCTTTCACTGACGTTTTTTTTTGCTGCCATGTTGGTCTCTAAATGAGAAAGCTCCAATCTGACTAAGCAAAGTCCTGAGATTGCTGCAACAGTTGGTGAAGATTAAATAAAACAGCAAAGTTTCTACCATGTTAAGGCAACTTAAACCATTCATATTATATTGCTGCAGATCTCTAAACTTCTACTGATTACCTAACAATTTAACAAGACAAGACTCAAATTTAAATCTCGTGCTAATGCTAAAATGTAAAAGTTTGAAGGATTAAGTGTGGCATAAAATATGATTTTTAATTTTAAGAAGGTAGAATTAGAAAGATACCGACTACAAATACAAAACACATTCTTGGACTTAAAACTTAAATATTGCTCACTAAATCTAGGTCAACATTAATTGAATGATTTTATTTATATTTACTCAATAGAACCCACTTCCCAAATATTCTTTTTATTGGATTTATTTTTGCCCCCTTTCTTACCTTTGCATGGCTTTCACTCAAAACCACTTCAGAGTCCAAACTACTGTCGTCTTAAAAAGCAAGCACACCCCTCAGGTGCACTTAGTTTCACACAATCTTCTACATCCCTTTAAAAAGGAAAAGTGTTGCTGTGTAGTTTTATAATCTATTGCAGTAACATCCTGCATTCGCTTTAGCTCCAGTCTTTATTTCAGTGCTTTTCCGAGTACGAAGCGACCTAACATGACATCTCAAATGGCAAAAGAATCTCAGACGTACATTCAATGTGTTTTATCGTTGTGCTACAAGAAACCAAGAGGAGAGGAATGGAAGACATTAAAAGAAGAGCCAGAAGAGGCTGCTTAACCCAACCGGTTCAGTCAGATTAATAAATTGTTACAGGGTTGATGGATGCTTTAGGATAATTTCCATGAAAACATTTAACATCTCATACTTCTCGTCTGCCATCTAATAGCATCCTGCATGAATAGATCAAACCTCCTAGATAAAGATGAAAACAAGGGGTTTAGGAGCAGCATTTTAAGATTTGGCTCATAAATCTGCTGCGTCTCATCAAATATAGGGACTCAGTAGCATCCTAAAACATCAACGTGACGATTAGTTAACAGTGTCAGAAGAATCTTCTTCAGGATAATCTCAGGAAAATTACAAAAACAGCTGATGGCAGGTCGACTAGCAACTAATGAGCAGAAGCTGGGATGGAAAACTTGGCGACCTTTATAAGTGCACGAGTCAAGATTTTGCAAGTTCTAAACATTTGCTTCCAATAAGTAGATTTTTGGTAGACGAGAGCCAGTCCGTCAACTCCAGGATGTTTCTTATCAGAGAGTTTGATGGAGCTCATGGGCCTCTTGACCAGCCGCTGTCTAAGTGTGATGCTGCGCGATGAGGCTGCGGAGCTGTTTGATCACGGCGTCGATGAGCTTCTGTCTGTCTCTGTCCGCCTTCTTGAACTGGGCGAGGACGACATTCTTCCTGCTCGTCTCCTTCATCCTGGGGGACAGAAGGAGGAGGAAGATGATTAGATGGATGAAGTGGAAAGACAGCAGTATAAATGCTGCAAATGTAGAGGAAAGATTCAAAATGCCTCCATAGACGTGCAATCTGTGTCAGCTGTTCAGCAGTGCTGTGAGAAGTATTCATTCCCATACATTAGACGTTTAAAAGTTAAATCAGTTTAAATAAATACAAAAACTGGTTTAAAATGATTTTATCAATGTAGGGAAATAAACTAAACCTTGACTGTGTGAAACAAAATAATAACCTCCCTCATTAAATCACTAAATATGACCTGTTTTTCAACATAAGGAATGTTAAAACTTCTAAAAAAGGCTCCAAACTACCAAACATTGAGCATAAAATGAGACATAAAGTCTCTATCAGTCCATCAGTCATTTATCTGAGGCTTTGGGACATCAAAGGATTACGGTTTCAGACGCTTTCCACAGAGGAGAAAACATTACACTGCTGTGAACCTTCACGTGAGGACCCACCCTACCACAGCTACTCCTAGAAGGCCTCAACCATTGATCCAGAAGGTTGCGCAAAAAAAAAAAAAGAAAAAAAAGAAAGGGCATCATCTAAAGCATTACAGACCCCATTTGCATCAGTTAAAGTCAGAGTTTGTGGTGCATTAGCTAAAAACAGACTCTTAAAAGATGGGAGCCTTACGAGGCAGAAACCACTGCTGAGCAAGAACAGAAAGGTCCATCTTTGCCAAATACCATCTACATCAAAACATTCGGAGTTTCCTGGAAGATTGTGGGTCCTATTACGTCTGCTGCAAACCTAACAGCACTTAAGAAAAAAAAGACATCAAACCAAGAATCAAACATGGTGTTGAGGTGTTGCTGTTTTGCCCCGACTGGCAAAACATGTCAGACCTGAACTCCGTCAAGAATCTGTGGATCGACAACAAACGGTGATCCCCAACATCCCCCAGCTCCATAAGGAAACCTCGGAGGAGCATTTAGACATTATTGGTGAGTTATTTTGAGGGGACAGCAAATTTACACTAAAATATGTTACTTTCTATTGTGTGAAAGTGTTATATCTTTAGTTTGGTCTTATGGAAAGATGCAATGGGACAGCTGCATGTGTGCAGAGCCAATGCTTTTTCACATGACTGTAAATAAAAAATGTAAATCCTTTATTGTCCCACAAAGGGGAAATTCACTCTCTGTTGTTCATTTACTATCTGAAAAGCTGTTATAAACAAAAAATAAAATTTAAATTTGTATACACTCCGTGAATATAAAACGACAATAAAAGTTGTCCAAGTCTAAGGCTATGTTCACACTGCAGCCTGAAGTGACCCAAATCCGATTTTGCGACCTGGATCTGATCTTTTCATGGCTGTCGGAAAAACATAGATCCGATTTTTTCCAATGCGACCCAGGCTACTTGGCTATGTATGTATCCGAATCTGATCTTTTCAAATGTGACCTGTGTCTGAACGGCCAGGTTGCATTTATCCGACCTGAACGCCATTAATACCCAACATAGGTCACTAATTCTGGGTCTTGCTATGAAGAAGTGGCAAGAAAAACAACAACCATTGTGGATGATAATGCGGAGAGCAGTATTTATGTTTATTAATCTTAAAAACATTGTGTTTTTATGGTTGGGAAAGATCGCTAGATGCGCTCTGGCGCTACCATCATGTTTACTTCCGTAAACATAGAGCACGCTGGCCTGTGATGGCATTGCACCCTCTACTGCGCATACGGACACTTGCGTTGTATGAAGTTGTATCAAATACGCGTCGCATATAAACGCAAAAAAATCGGATTTCACAAAAAAAAAAAAAANCCCCAACATCCCCCAGCTCCATAAGGAAACCTCGGAGGAGCATTTAGACATTATTGGTGAGTTATTTTGAGGGGACAGCAAATTTACACTAAAATGTGTTACTTTCTATTGTGTGATAGTGTTATATCTTTAGTTTTGTCTTATGGAAAGATGCCATGGGAAAGCTGCATTTTATAAGATTTTGCAAACATTTCTTTCTTAAAAAGTTCAAGTATGACCAAAACCAGTGCGTGCAGAGCCAATGCTTTTTCACATGACTGTAAATAAAAAATGTAAATCCTTTATTGACCCACAATGGGGAAATTCACTCTCTGTTGTTCATTTACTATCTGAAAAGCTGTACTAAACAAAAAATTAAATTTTATTTTGTATACACTCTGTGTAAACAAAATGACAATAAAAGTTGTCCAAGTCTAAGGCTGGGTCACTAAAAGTGATTTGGGTCACTTCCAGTGACCCAAATCCGATTTTTTTGGCCCATATGCGACCTGGATCTGATCTTTTCATTGCTGTCGGGAAAACATAGATCCGATTTTTTCCAATCCGACCCAGGCCACTTGGCTATGTGGTCCTGAATCCGATACCAATCTGATCTTTTCAAATGTGACCTGGGTCTGAACAGCCAGGTGGCATTTATCCGACCTGAACGGCATTAATACCTGACATTGGTCACTAATTCTGGGTCTTGCTATGAAGAAGTGGCAAGAAAAACAACAACCATTGTGGATGATAATGCGGAGAGCAGTATTTATGTTTGTTAATCTTAAAAAGATTGTGTTTTTATGGTTGGAAAAGATTGCTAGATGTGCTCCAGCGCTACCATCCATGTTTACTTCCGTAAACATAGAGCACACTGGCCTGTGATGTCATTGCATCCTCTACTGTGCATACGGGACACTTGCTTTGTATGACTGCAGTTCACGCAGGAGATCACATACAAGTCGCATATAAACGCAAAAAATCGGATTTCACAAAAAAAAAAAACCCGAAATTGAGCATCAAGGCCTGCAGTGTGAACGTAGCCTAAGTCTCTGCCTTTAACCAGTTCCCCATGGGGAGCAGTAGGCTGCCAACATTGGCGCCGGGGGAGCAGTTTGGGGTTTAATGGTCTTGCTCAGGGACCCCTAGTGGTTAGGGCATTGGGTCCCGGAGGTTCTGAGTTCAAGTCCCACATAGTCCCACAGACTGCCACTTTGGGTCCCTGAGCAAGACCATTAATCCTTACACTGCTCCCTGGGCGTCGCACAATGGCAGCCCGCTGCTCCCCAAAGGGATGGGTTTAATGGAGACAGTGAAATTCGTTGCTTTGTACTTGTGACAGGGTAATGACAATAAAGTTGGATTCTTCTTCTTCATTTGAAAGGTTCCACCTGGGCATAGAGGAGCAGCAATACCCCCTCTCTCTCTTTCTTATTGGGATTTATGTCGTGCTTGTTAGTGTTCTTGAGCACGTAATTGGTGTAAAAACTCTTACAAGCCAGTAATCCACAAAGACTGATTAGAACTTTGTTTACATGCAGGCTGTGTGAGAGAGGATGCGATAAACGTCTATGATGACACAGATGCACACAGATGTGGGTGTTGTTGGAAAGATAAATCTCAGTATCATCAACATATCAGTTCACTTTCTGTTAACCCTGAGAATCCCTCAGGTGAAATTTCACACTCTGACTTTTAAAAAACAATTAGGAGGGGTTTAACAATACATGCCTGCAGAACACACACAGCCGTACAAACAATACTCACGGCTTAAACAACCTGTCAAAACAGGAGAAAGGGGAACAACAGGAAGCAGGAGTTTAGATGAATACGATAAGCTGGAAATCATTTAAACATTGCTTTTCTTTTTAAAATGAAATCAGGAAAATAAATTCCCACTAAAACTAAATTAGATAGAACTTTGTGGGTTTAAGTATCTCTCAAACGGTAATATTAAATTCAACCGGTTCTAATTTCTTAACTTTAATCGACAAAACGTACCCATTATTGACACAATCCTGTCCAATCCCATTACAGTAATAAAGTCTTTTATTCCTTCATCCATTTTTAAGGTTTATTTGCTTCCTAATGTTTAGAATGACTAATTGGTCATGTTCTTCTGATTAAACACCAAGGTTCATCATTATACAGAAAGTATGATATTTAATGTTTTTTTCTTTAGAGCTATTTTGACTTCATCATCCAGGTCATAGTCATTCCGTAAAAGTAAAACAAAAAAAAATCCACTGGACTTTGTTTCCTGGTGGCGAAACGTCTTCAAATCTTGGAAACCAAGTCCAGTGGATTTCTTTTTTTTTTTTACTTTTAGGGAAATATTTTGACTTTGCTTTTTCCTATTGAAAAATATTTAAGAAACTAGCCAGGCTGGCAAAGATAGAGAAAGTTAAGAAACAGAAACAAGCTAAATTGTTGGTAAGGAAAACAAACGGAACAAAGCAACATGACTACTCACTTCTCCAGAAGGGCCAACGCTGTGTGTGGGTTGACTCTCAGGTATTTGCAGGTGGGTTTGCCGTAGTCGGCCAGGTAGGTGGACCAATCCCACTGGGTGAAAAGGTCCAGTAACTGAACAAGAACATTGAGAAAGAGGAAGAGAGAGATTTAGAAAAAATAAAAAAAAAAATAAAAAAATTACTCACAGATTCAAAAATATAGCCTGAGAACTTCGACACGAACATCAACAACGTCCACATGCTAAGGCTGATACGGTAACGAGCTGCAGGAACAGGGAATTATTACACTTTAGAAGTTCAAAGCTAAAAAATATGATGAAATACAGACAGATTTATGGAGATTATTCAAATTGACAATGAGCTCTTAGAGTTTCCTTATCAGAAATTTCTTAGGCTCAAAGAAAATGTAGCTTTTCAAAGCTTATTTACACAATAATTTGTTCCACTTATGAGAGTTTTCTTGTACAGGCTTTCAACTTTTATTAAAAAAATAGAACCACTTAACCAAGAACAGACCGTTTTCTGGAGAGCTGATGTTAAAAAAGTTATATGCAATAATATTTTACAATTCTGAATATCTATATAGCGTCACCTAAAAAATAAAATAAAACAAGCAGCTCTAATTTTACCCTAATGAAACGGCATTGCTTGTTTTAAAATAGCTGAGTAAGGAAGAGCAAGTTTTGTCCCTCGCTGACCTTCCTGTTATGAGTTAACTCTGCAGTGTTTTCTCAGTGCTAAATGAACAATGAGTAAACAAAGCCGCTATAATCTTCCTAAGAACTTAAAGGGGACTATACAAACTGAATTAGCTTTGGATTTACAAACACTGGTGCTGCTGTGACATGGTCTTGGCTGCTTTCTTTTCTCCGACATGACAAACATCTGACCTCCATTAAAAACCCACCAATATTCTTGTGACATCTTGGAAATTGGCATTATTTTTTTTAAAAGACTGACAGAAAACAGAAATAAAGAAGCAGTGAGTGGAGAGAGAAACTAAAGCGAGGCTACGAGGAACGGTGTCATCTTCTCCTAAATGACCCGCTATTCACAGTGTTGCATAACCAGCTGCTGACCTGCTGAACCCTCCGTAAAACACTCAAACACGCATGCAGAAACAGGCCCTGGCAGGCTAACCCATAAGCCACCACAGTCTGTGTGTGAGCAGGGAGCCCCAGTGAACTCCACATAACACCAAACACACACAGATCCAGAGAGAGAAACCATATGTGAGCGAGGGATGAGAGAGAAGTAGGTGGGGCAAAGAAAGAGATGGAGAGCAAAACCACATGTGGGGGAAGATGGAGGGGACAAATGAGAGAGAGCAGCGATGGAAACAGATGGCTAAAATCAAATGCAACAAAGAGGAGGAGAGGTAAAAGAAAGGTAGGGTAGAATCTATGGGACGAGGGAAAGAAAAAGAGGTAAAGACTGGGCGTTAGAGGAGCCTCATCAGAGCACAACAGTAAATGAATGAACAAATTATTTGTTTTATGAATGACATCACTTTATTTTTTACTGTTTTTAGAGAGATAAGGTAGAGGAAATATAATAAGCAGCATCTCATCTGATTGAATAGTTGTTGGCATGATTTCAGTTTAAGAATCAGAAATTCTCATGAAGGCATCAAAACACATTCCTAGAGTAGAGAAGATGGAATCCTTAGTTAAGCTGAAAGCTTCTCAAAGTCAAGCTAACTGCTCTTCTAAGTCAAGGTAAAAGCAAATGACTTGAGGTAAAGGCGGCTCACTCTGTTAACAGCAACTAAGACTTGAAATAACGTCCACTGGGACTAGAGCCGATGTCCCCTCAGACCAGAGACCACATCCACTCAGACGAGAGACCAAGTCCCCTTGTACTAGAGCCCACGTCCCTTCAGACTAGAGCCCATGTCCTAGGACTAGATACCACATCCCTTCAGACTAGAGCCCACGTCCCCTTGCACTAGACACCATGTCCCTTCAGACTAGACACCACGTGCCTTCAGACTAGAGCCCTTCAGACTAGAGCCCACGTCCTAGGACTAGATACCACGTCCCTTCAGACTAGAGCCCACGTCCCCTTGAACTAGACACCACATCCCTTCGGACTAGACACCACGTCCCTTCAGACTAGAGCCCTCGTCCTAGGACTAGATACCACGTCCCTTCAGACTAGAGCCCACGTCCCCTTGCACTAGACACCACGTCCCTTCGGACTAGAGCCCACGTCCCTTCGGACTAGAGCCCTCGTCCTAGGACTAGATACCACGTCCCTTCAGACTAGAGCCCACGTCCCCTTGCA